TTTGATTCAGCAAGAAACTAAATCCAAAACGAAACTACGAGTCAAGGAACAGGTGGTGAACTCATTATTGCTGACACTGATCAAGTTCTCAAAAAAAAAAACTCAGTCCGTAAACAAAGTTGAAACAGATTGTTGTTGTTTTTTGTCATCAACGCATTTTTTTTTTTTCTTTTTTCTGTTTCGATGTAAAATATACACCTACGTTTTCAGAGGGTTCCTGGCCGATGTGACAGTCCTCCAGCAGAAACAAACATGTTTGTAACATCGTAGAATTTTATTGCGTCTCATTGCTTCTGAAAAATAGGATGGACATATAATCGTGTCCTATTGTAACACAAGCATCCTTCAGTGTATCGTCACAACATGTTTCAAACATTATCACAACTCATTTCAACTTTTTTTTTTTTCTCTCTCTAATCTTTAACACGTACCGTTTGACAAAAAGCTTGTTTGACATGCACATTCTCTCCTTGCAGCAGTCCTTCGCAATCGCGCCTGGCAGACAGTGAAGTCCCAGAGCTCAGATTGGAGTGAGTTTGCGGGGGGTAGGGGAGGTGGGGGGTGGGGGGGGGGGGGTTTGTGACCATGGTTTAACAACTTGTTTTTCTTGGTCCATCATAACAGTAAAGTTTAGTTTGTGTGTACACTTACAGTAGATGTTTAGATTCTGAATTCTGATCATACGAGCTGATTTTTAAATGTTGTAAAGTAGACAAATGGGAGATTTTCACTGTTTAAAGATACCAACTTTTTTACGCCATATTAGCTTTTAAATGGTTTCAAAGGCTAAAAGCCTCACTTCCAGCCTGTTGACAGCTGGAGAGTCACGGCGTCTTTTGTCGGTTTCAGTGTTCAACACACCTTCATGTTTACTGTGATTTAATTTTTCTGACAACGAAGTCAAACATGTGGAATAAATAGAATCTGCTGCATTGATAATGATCGTTTCCCGAGTCAGATCAATAGTGTAGGAAGTGCAAGCTACAAACGGGTTGATGTATATCAGTTTGTAAATTAAAAAAAAAAAAAAACAACAAGCTGCTCTCTCTGTCACACTGTCTTGCTGCTTTTATCAGACCTCTGCGCTGTTGGATCAGGCAGTCACCGCTCTCTGACAGCGATAAGAAAAACTCTAACAAGAAAAGAAGTTAGACTTAAAACCTGAGTGTTGATTTTGAGCCCCTGCAGGTCTCCGTACCTGGAGCCTGACATCATGCTTGGGTTCATTCCTCTTGTTCCTCTGCTTCTTTACTCGGTGGTGCCATCTGGTCAGTTCAGCATTCTTTATCTGTCTGCGTAAAGATGAAAGCGTATTCTAAGACAAAATTTGGCTCCACCTACCAGCAGTGTCTTAGAAGAAATGCAAGCTTAAAACTACCAATGAACTCTTGTGAGGCGATGAAAAAAGAAAAAAAAAAAAAAGAGTTAACACAGCGGGGTACTAGATGTCATATAACATCGCAGTAAAATTCTCACCAGCGCTTCCTCGTAGTGTTGGATTTCAAGCTTTTAGAGTCTTAAATTCTAACGCACGCGCTCAGTCGTCGTCTTCACGTGTCTGAACTGTACTGTGGCGCCTCAGCTCGCTCATGGATTCACACTGTTCTGTCGAGCTTCACCTCTCAAGGCTACTGAGAATTATGCGTTTGTTAAAGACTGCTAAACAAACATAAATATTGAGTAACAAGAAAATTACACAATTTTTTCAAGAAAAGCTCCATCCTCATCTTAGAATGAAACGAGCCACAAAGGCTGGAGTTTAGCAATTAATTATACAAATATCAGTGGGATTTTGAATGAGGTTTTGAACTTCAGTTTCACTTTCCGCTCTTTTATATCAGCAACAGTCAATGCTTTATCTTCACATCTAAAGCTCTAAGTGAAAGTATAAACGTTAGAGCAGACACAGAGTGTTGCTTTAAAACTGATTGGGTGGATCTGGTGGAGAAGACATCATCGAGTCAAAAAGCTTGTTTTTATGTTTTTGTGGAAAAATTGTTTTAAGTGAAGAGCCTCTCAACGATGCAAAGCTCAGTCCATTCGAGCTCTGGGCGACTGCCAGTTTTCCTCAGGATAATTAATATTAATATTCTCAGCTCACAGCTCACACTGCAGACACGACACAGTACCAACACCCCCCTCGCTTAGTGTGCAAACTACAGGGTAAATCGCTACAATCAACTTAAGTAATATTCCCAACATCCCAGTGGAAACACACACACACACGCACCACACACACACACACACACACACACAGAAAAGTGATTTAAAAAAATGCATGATCAAATGAAAATTCAACGAATGCACTTGTTGAAATGATGAAATATGTCCAAACTGAAACACATAGATGACTGACACACCACCACACACACACACAACACACACACACACACACACACACACACACACACACACACAACACACACACACACACCATAAACGTGTGTGTGGTGTGCTGTGTGTGTGTGTGTGTGTGTCGTGTGTGTGTGTGTGTGTGTTTGGGGGTTTACAGACAAGGTAGAAAAAACAAAAAACACTGATTTAAAAAAAAACTATCCATGAGTCCTTGGGCTCTGTTGAAACCCTTTCTTATCCCATATCAGGTTGTTCATACCGGTGGGGGGGGGTGATGTCAGCAATGTACATCACTTGATCACAGATCAACTGATGATGTCATTCAGTTATTTCCCCGTCTTCCTGTCTGAGTCAGCGGAGTGTCGAAAGAAGAATTACAGGAAGAAACTCCCTTCTGTCTCCCTGTGAGAGAAACAGGGGACTGTGGGGGTGGGGGTGGGGGTGGGGTGGGGGGGGCGGGTACTGGGGAGGTCTAGTTTGGGCTCAAAGGTTACAGGGTGAAGGAGCAGTTGGTGCAGATTACGAAAGACAAAAAAAAGAAGACAGGAGAGAAGGACTGGTTATGTAACCCAGCCAGCAGCCATCGCCATCTCCCGACAAAGAAAAGGAGAAGGAGAAGAGACAGGAAGGAGGGATGGTAGAGAGAGAAAGAGGGATAGACAGACAAAATGATGAGTGCAAGGCTAGCTAGCGGTTGTTCTTGGCGGCTTCCTTGGCAGCCACAATGAGAGGAGTCAGACTGGAGAGAGGCTTCGCCATCTTCAGAAACTGATGCTGAGAGAGGGGAGGGGAAGGAGAGGAAGAGAGGGAGGAGAAGGGGGAGAGGGAAACGGAGGAGGGGAGGGAAGAGAGACGGAGAAAAATATTTTTAATATATTTAAATGGATACGGCAATCTGGTTTTAAAATGAGTTTCACCAGATGCGATATCATCATCTTTGAATCCGAAAATGTTTTACACAACAGAGAGAAAATCTCTGCAGCTCATCAACTGAAGGTAGAAACTCTGTCTTGTCATTTGCTGATGCTACTCAACAGACACGCATGAACACACACACACAGACACACACACACACACACAATTGAATCAACCTTCAAACAGTTAGAGAACAAGGACTCTCCAGCCACACATACAAAGGATCCATTAAAGTGAATTACTTCTCTAACAGACCTCCCCCTCAAACAGTATAAAGTCCCAGCTTCACCTCTGGGCTCTGAGTCATCGAACAGTTACACAACTCTTTTTGCTGCTCGGCTACAACCCCACCCACACATCTCTATACCTACAAGTGTCTGTCTGAGAGCGGACAGCTGACACCACCTCCAGTCGACCTGTCCAGTGTAAATGTGGAAGTTTAAAGTCTCTTTATACATCAGTGGGAAATGTTATTTTTTTTACTCCAGAGTATTTATTTGACAGTTACTTAAAGGATTAAGCTTCAATATATAAAATATATGATGAGCTCATGAAATATGTATTTTTATAGATTCAACTAACTAACTCCATATAAAACAGTCAAAAAGGCTGCTTATACATTAATGCTATAGGAATAATAATCCAATAATAAAGGAGCCATTTTGCTAATAATACCTGTGTATTTTTACTTAAGCAGCATTTGCATTGCAGGACTTTAACTGGCAACTGAATATGTTTATGATGTGTTATTGTTACTTTTACTCAAGTGATTATTAAAAACAAGCCAACGCAAATTCAGCTTTTGCCTGATGGCGAAATGTATACACATTATCTTTACACAATGGCAGTTTGTCATGTGACATACAGGGATCTTATATATTGATGCTTGTAGCTTGTAGTGCCGACACTTCTTCCTGACGGAGGGAGGGAAGGCAATTTCTAATAGATTAAAAAAAGAAAGATAATTAATAATTAGAGATATTTGTTATTATTATAAGTTATTTTGCCTTTTCTTCTTTTTTTTCTTCTTCATATTTTTCCTTTATTTACCCAGGTGAATGTTTTGATAAACATTTAAATCTCTTTGGGGCAGCAGAAGTGTGTGTTATTTTATAGGTCCTGTTGGGGAAGATATAGTGGGTTTTTTGGTGCCAAAATATTCTGCGTATTTGATGTTTGTAAGTTGAAAAATTCAAAAGATAAAAAATCCTGTTCTTTTCCTGGATTCACCTCTGTCATTTTGACACCCTATTACATATGTATGTATGTATGGAAACACATCAAACACACACACATATACACACACACATATACACACGCATGCATGCACGCACACACAGACACACACACACAGCTGCTGTACCTGCAGTAGCTCTTTAGCCGAGCCTCTCTTCTCCACGTCCATCTCCAGACATCGGTTCAGGAAGTCTCTGAATATCGTCGACAGTTTCTCCGGGTTCTGGAGCTCTGGTGTCCCGTTGGTTGCTATGAGATACAGCGCCTTGGCGACACACATCAACAACCTTTTACTCTATGTCCCATGAAGCACATCCAAGGATTTGAAAAGCTTTTACTCTGGTGCCATCCAGTGGTGATTTTTAAGAATGACACACTGATCACTTGATGCACTGTGGTTCTTTACGGAGAAACACTGCTGTGGTAATATGTACTGTACTGCACCAAATACAAGACCAGCCTGATTGTAAGACAACTCCCCTCTTTAACACCATTTTTAGGGTGTGAGGTCCTATGTCAAGCACAGTATTGTTTTGTAAAATAACTTAAAAAATTAAATCAAAAGTAAAAAAACAAACAAAAAAACAATGTGTTGTCTTCTCTCCCAAGAGCCAGTGAATCAGTCACACACTCACTCTCTGTCTCAGTTAGCACTTTCAGTAGACTCACTACTTTAACAACATTAACCGTCTCTCTGTAGTGACACAGGTACTCTCTCTCTCTCATTCAACATGTCTCGACTTAAATGTGAAAAAAAAAATAAGACACACAAAAAAAGTTATACTCACACACACAAAAGTCTGAGGCCACTTCTACATTCAAGTGAAAGGGAAAGTGGTCTCAGACTTCTGCTCCACTGTATGTGGCCAAATGCAGCATTAAACAAATGCATTTGTTTTGATATTTACTGTCAAACGGTTCCTGTATTATTCAGAAATCACTGTTCAGATACTCTCTCTCCTCATGTCTTATATTACTGCTCACATTGATTCACATATCTCACTCAAACTGATCTCCAAACTAAAATCAGATGAATAAGATCATTTAACAAATCATCAAATATCAATCCGAGTCATGATTCAGTCAGACATGAACACAGACATGATAACACCACTGCAAATAAACCTCCATATATCTGCTAAAAAAGTCTGAGAAAAAAGAAGCTCCTTAGTAAGTAATCCAAAGATACTGTAGGTGCTACAGTAAACACACTCAGTGCTTTGATTAAACACAATCTCACCCTGAGTGGATTTTCGTTCAGGTAAGGCGGCTCCCCCTCCACCATCTCTATGGCCATGATGCCCAGGGACCAGATGTCCACTTTGGGACCGTAGGCTTTTCGGGTCACAACCTCCGGAGCCATCCAGTACGGGGTCCCGACCATAGTGCTGCGTTTACTCTGCTCTGGAGTGATCTGGGCACAGAACCCAAAGTCAGCTGGGAGGAGGAGAGAGGAAAAAATGAGTCCATGTGTTCACAACGTTTGCAAGAGTTTAAAGTTCAAGTTTAAAACAGAAAGTTTTAAGTTTAAACGATTGCAAGAAATTTTTCAACATAATCACTAATGTGAATCAGTTTCAGTTTCCCTTTTATTGTTTACATCAAAGCTCTACAGGACATTTCAAAAACCTACTGTATATATACGTATATATATAAATATAGCATAATAGCATATCAAGATAAATAATATAACAATATAGAGTCTGTAAACTATATAAAGACTCAAGTAAATCACACCTCTATCTATCTATCTGACAGACTGAGGTCAGACTGAACTTAAAGAATCAGAGCCTCCCCTGCTGGTCAAAATAGGACACTACAACAACCACCCTCAGTGTTGTGCTGTTGATACAATTACACAGCAAATAGCCATACACCAATATAAATAAATAAATAAATAAATAAGAAATATAAATATAAGAAATAATTAATACACAGACTGAATAATTAAAAGAAAGAGATGATATAATGACAGCTGTTGTGCACTGACTGAGTTTGACGGAGCCGTCCATGCCCAGCAGGATGTTGTCACTCTTGATGTCTCGATGGATGACCTGGTTCGAGTGAAGGAACTCCAACGCCAGCAGACACTGCAGAGAGGGAGAGAGAGAGAGAGAATATGAATTATACAAAAAAGGTGCGCAATAAAACTTTAGGAGACCATCCAGCTCCTGAGAGAGAGAGAGAGAGAGAGAGAGAGAAAGAGAGAGAGAGAGAGAGACAGAGAGAGAGAGAGAGAGAGAGAGACAGAGAGAGAGAGAAAGAGAGAGAGAGAAATGTGGTCAAAGTGTTGTCTCAAGTCTCTTACCTCTCTGCACACAGCAGCTATCTGGGCCTCATCCATGCAGGTTTCCGTGACGACGTCAGTCAATGAACCTCCGGCCAGGTACTCCATCACCACCCACAATTCGTCGCCCACCAAGTAACTATGGTAAACATCAAAACATCTGTTTAATTGGTAGCGGTGCCATTTAGGTTTTTTTTTTTTTACAGATTTATAGCATGAATTGATTGTATATTTCCCAGAGGTCAAGGTCATTTCTACAGATCGTTTCATCTGACACAGAGACATTGAATATACAATCATATACAATGAAAGCAGCAAATTGTCACATTTGAAAAGCTGGAAAACAGCAAACATTATGATAAATTACTTAAATTATTAATCAGTTATCGTCATTTAGATTACTATTACTACTTCTAGATTACTTTTTTTTGTTTGTCAGGGAATTGATCAATCGACTAATCCCCAGTGCCATTTGATGTCTGTTGGTAAAATACACTGGCTGGAAACAGGACACACTTTGCTGGCTGTTTTTATTCTCTGGTTTTTGTGTTTCATGGACCAACTGACATTTAACTCCCTCGTTTCTCTCCTTCAGTACAGTCAACATTCATGTCTGTACTGCACTGTGGCGACTTTATTCTATATATGCCTGCTCCTCCATCTATACTTCAGTCGTTACATGTTGTCACAGCAGGTGATGGCTCATCACTGTGACCTGTACATCAGTGGAGGCTGTCTGTCAGAGGGGACTAGCACTCTTTAATATTGATTACTTATAAAGTCTTTGTAGGAAAACAGCCTGGATATCTGACCTCTCTCCTTCAGTTTAGGTAAATTCATTGTTCCACTACATGAGAAAAGAGCTTGGGCCTTTAAATGCTTTGCTCCTTTCTGATGGAATTCACTGGAGGATGATCTGAAAATGGATCAACTGATTTCTTTGGCTGATTTTCAGGTTTTAACTGAGTCCTCCGCTGACAGCACCGGCACAGACTAAGGACACATCAGGGGCCAGTTTCACAAAGATACTTCAGACTGGTCTGTAGTGTTGGTCCAGCCTTAATTCTGTTCATAGATCAGTCTGATGTTAGTCAGACTGTTTCACAAAAATAACAACTGACTCATTTCAACACAAAAACATTGCCCCCAGGCTAACTCAGGCCTAACACCAACAAAACAGGAAAACATGGCTCATAATTGAGTTACTACTGAGTTTGCTAACATTGTTATAGAAAGAGCAAAGAGCAGGGAAAGAGTTTTTAGAGACTGGAGCCATTTTTTTTTTTTTACAAAATAGATTTAATAAGTAAAGCGTCCTTGTAACTGTTGAATTCTTCCAAAAGACAAACATTTTCTGCTGGGGTAAATAGAGCTGAGATGGATGCGGTTCCTCTGTCAGCCATTTTTTTTTTTTTTTTTGAAAAAAGTTTTAATTTACCCAGAATTCATTGTACCACAATCCAGTTTAAGATAGTCAAGAACTAAACTGTTTTGTGCAACAGACGAATTTAGACTGAGTCTATCTGAAGTCCGACTATTTGTTCTATCTAAGCCACAGTCAAAGTCTGTCTGAGTGAAGTGCAGAGCCTGAAGTTAACTCAGCTTTTATCCTATTTTGTGTTCAAATGTTTTGCTGGTTCAGTCCCTGCTCTTGTCCTGTGATTTACACGTTTGGATGTTTGTCTGCATGCTTGGTTTTTGCTCTGTGACATGTTGTGTTTGTTGTCCTGCATACACATGGCGTTCATGCAATAGAGAGTGAAACTGCTCTCATTAAATGAATGAATGAATGTAACTCTCATATAGGAAAATAGGAAAGGTCATGGACACAACACTGGGCATTAAAAAAAATAACTAAACAAAGACCAAATGCAGTCTTTTGTGAAACCCTCACAATAAATCAGTGACAGTGAAAATGTTGTTTCCATGGGGATGACAGTGTTATCACCAGTCTTGCATGTGCCTCATTGTCTCAAGAAAAAAAACACACGCACACACACATGCGTGCGCGCGCGCATGCGCGCGCACACACACACACACACACACACACACACACACACACACACACAAAATGTCCAGCAGGTTGCCATGGCAACAGCAACAGTGAACCAGGTAACTTCTCATCATGTTTCAGTCTCCACAGTTTGCAGCTCAGTGGTGTTTCCTCAGTAACATCTACAGTGTTTCCACTGCTCCTGGAAACATCTGGAGTTTTCCAGGTTTCCAGGAAAGGTTTGGGAACTTCACATTTGGCTATTTTTTTCAACTTGTTTCACATACTGTATCTACTTCCCTTCAGTTTCATTTTCATCAGAGCAGCAACATTGACAGGGAACCAGTCAGAAGTAAATATAATCCTCCTGCTTCGTCTGCTGGCTTGAAATCATTAGGTGCCTGCTGTGTTCAAATGCGCTGCGGTGTCATGTCAGCGGTGTCACTTCGCCAGAAGCACATTCATGCAGCATTATTCATAAAGTGACTTAATAACTGACCCCTGAGAAGGAGAGACTGACTTTTCTATTCAGATCAGTGAATGATTTTTAAAAACGGACAGTATATCTTTTCTTTTTGTTACTTCCTGGATAACCATATGTAATGTTTGTATACTGTAGGTAAAGGTGTCATAGTGCCTAGCAACAATGTTGTTGTTTTCTTTTGTTGTTATTGACATAAATGAAAAGTTTGAAGTATCATAAAAGGACATTTTAATAAGTAGTGACTGGTTTGGCTGGGAGTTGATACTGGTTTTGAGCTTTAGAACCTACGCTCCATCAGCACAGATATACAGACATACAGATATCCAAAGAGATTCCAACCGATGCTACCAAGCTCTAATTAAATCCAAAGAGCTGGAACAGTCTCTAAACGTGAAACCATATGAATCACAGAAAAGGATAATCCAGGAAAAATACAGAACTGGCAGTCAGACAAACCGTCACATTTTCTTTCCCTGTCATGGTAATTTACTTGCTGTGGCACCTGACAAATGAACACAAAGAAAATGTGTGTGTGTGTGTGTGTGTGTGTGTGTGTGTGTGTGTGTGTGTGTGTGTGTGTGTGTGTGTGTTTGCCTAACCTATCCAGGTAGTTGACGATGTTTGGGTTCTTGTTTTCCCTCATCACCAGAATCTCGTTGATGATCAGTTCTTTCTTCGGCTGCTGCTGCAGGTTCATTTGTTTAATGGCAACCTGAGATAAAAAGAGAAACATTTGACTTTTCATTGCAGTTAGGACTCAAGAAATAAATCACACAGACTGAAACAAACACAGAGCAGAGACTGGGGTAAAAGAGGGGTAAAAGACAAGACAGACAGACGGGTTTATTAAGAGAAACAGATAATGCGACAGAATAAAAGACAACAACAGAAAGAAAAGGAAAATGAAGTGAAGACAGTCAGCAAAGGCTGTGAGGAGGGGACGTATCTAAATCCAAAGGCAGTAAAAGGTTGTTAGGCAGCGCAGCCTGACAGACATTAAAAAGCCAGCACACAGACTAATCCTCAGAGAGTGAAACTGAGGAGGATTAGTCTGACAGACGAACTGAGCTCCTTTAAAATTAACCTGAAAGTCACAGTTATTGAAGCCGGACTTAAATCCAGTTACTGCCACAATGTTCTCACTGTGCAAACTCAGACTGAACTGCTCTCTTCCCCCGAGTCTCTTCCTCCCTCCTCCTTTTCCATGATTGAAGGCTGACACCCAGGATGAACTGACGTACGCTTCCTTTAAACTCCCTGTCAAGTCTTTAGCATCTAGCTTTCCTAACCCATCTTGACTTTAAAAAAGATTTTGTTTAAACTTCATTTCCCACTAAATTTGCAATTTCTACCTTAGACTTAGTCTGGGAAAAAATTTTAACTCACTTCAGCATCATGGTTTAACATAACTTTACTTTAAACTTGCTATAGGTTCAGCTTCATCTTCATCATCCAGGGAGTGGACTTTATTTCCTCTTGACTTCAAGATGTTGAAGTTGATTCTTCTTTAACCCTGAAGAATGTGTCTGTAATGATGTGGGAGCTTTAACATACAGTAGCTACTGCATCCAGTCAATCCCTTAAAAAGATATTAATGCTGTCCTGTGTTTGTAAATTCATCATGGACGTTAAAAAAGGCTGAAAGAACAATCTCTGAATGTCAGTCTTTTCACAAACTGTATCTCTCTGGGGGTTTTAACCATATTCACAGCGTAGCTCAATCGACGTAAGTCTGTCGGTCTTTCTGTCGAGATTTGTCATGATTTACTGGACCTGAATGTCTGTATCCTCCAGTTTTACCAACATGTCCTTTCAGCACTGCTAGCATTACCTTTGTGACTGAGCGGTGTGGCTCGGTGTAAGCTGAAGGAGAACAGAGAACAGAGGGATGTAGGAAGAAAGGAAGAAATAAAACACTGAGGATGATAAAGGAAACCTACCTCCTGTCCAGTAGCGATGTCGATAGCTGTGTACACCGTCCCAGACGCCCTGACAACAGACAGCGTGAGAGCTCCAGGTCAACATTCAGCTGCATTTATTTGTTGAATGAAAACTATTTTAATTTCTTAGAGGTCTTTTGAGGCAGCACCATGAATATTTGCAGGTTTCACTTTTTTCTTACAAAGTAATGAAGCACATAACAACTTTACAGGAATAATATTCATAAGAGCAACATTCAAATGGTATTCAACCAATAACACGTTGCCTTCACGGCCTTGGATTTACTTCTTATGTTGCTTTTCTCCCACACTGTGGCCAACATAAACCTCTCAGCCTCCTCCTATCCATTTGAAGTTGAGCTGAAACTATGAATAAATTAAATCATTAATCAATTAACAGAAAATAACTAGGGACTTCTAAGAAAAAATGTGACGTTTTCATCTTCTCTAATGAGAAGATTAGCTGCTGTTCTCTGTTCTACATGAACTGGATATTCAGACTGTTGGTTAATAAGACATCACATTGGGCTCTGAGAAACATTTTTCACAATTATCTGGTGTTTTATAGAAAATATTAAAATATTAAATGACTGATCCGTTAATTGAAAGAATAATTGATGATGAGAAATAATCCTTAGCTGTGGCCCCTAATTTGAACTAATCTTTGTTAGATTAATAACAAATCAAAGTCAAAGCCTGATATTACTGTAAATCCTTGTGACTCTAACTTGATGAACAGGATAGAAACAAACTCATCACAGGCTTCTTCATGATGTAAAATAAACATATTTCTATATTCTTCTTCAAATTTGGCACAAATGTCCACTGGGACTCAAGGACAAACTGATTAGATTTTGGTGGTTAAAGGTGAAAGGTGAAAGGTCAGTGTGACCTCACAAAACACTTTTTAGCCTCAACTCGAGACTTCACAGCAATTATGACAAAATTTCACACAAATGGTTCATACATTATACGACTCTGGATAAACAGGGATGGGACCTGAAACTAGTCTGAGTGGAGGAGGCAGACAACCACCAGGAGGTGAGTCTAGTTGTACACGGTCCCTGACAAACAAACACTGAACTAAACATTCACACTGACTGAATGAACCAATCGCAGGAGACATTAAATTTATGACTTACCCCTGTCCAATCTTCTCAAAGCGTGTATATTTCTTCTTGGGGTCTCCAACACTTACAATTGTCCCTGAGTTGAAGAAAGAGAGAGAAAGAAGCAAAAACTCACTCATTGACTGATGGAGACAAACAGCAATGAGCAGGGAGGAGCAAGAGAACAAGAAGAAGAAACTCCGGCCCTTTAATCCACAGCTGTTCATTTTACAGTACCACTGAATTTGAATGGATAGAAGAGTCAGGTGTCTTTCTATCCATCCTAATTCTACTCTATGTTCACCCTCAGGTCAATGCAGCATGCTGACTGGGAGGTAGAGCAGAGAGAGGAGAGGAACAACAGACAGAAGACAGAGAGAAGGAACGAGGGATGAGACAAAAACTAAACAGGTCAGCAACAAAATGGAGATGTAAAGAAGTCAAAACGGTCAATTCAGAGGAAGAAAGAAAGAAAGAAAGAAAGAAAGAAAGAAAGAAAGAAAGAAAGAAAGAAAGAAAGAAAGAAAGAAAGAAAGAAAGAAAGAAAGAAAGAAAGAAAGAAAGAAAGAAAGAAAGAAAGAAAGAAAGAAAGAAAGAAAGAAAGAAAGAAAGAAAGAAAGAAAGAAAGAAAGAAAGAAAGAAAGAAAGAAAGAAAGAAAGAAAGAAAGACAGCTCTGTCTGCAGTTCAGGAATCAGAGTCCACAGTAGGAGGCTGATTAGAGGACAAAACTTGGAGTCACTCTGGAACCGCAGGAGACTGGACGATGGAAAGAGAAGAGGACGACCAATCAAACGTGAGGATTGGACAGAGGGGGCGGGGACAGTGAATATCAGGTCTGTCAGAGAGACGGACAGACAGGCAGAATCCTGGGCTTACCAGCAGAGAGAGACCTGAGCACATCTGGACAGGCGTGGGGCATGGTTTAAAAAATATACAGGCTTTATTCATGGGTTACAAACACACAACAACACATTTCAAAGTGCGGAGGAAGCTTCGTTTTTTTTATTTATTATATATATAGTGTATATATCTGCTTCAGTGTTTGCGCATGTTTTTCAAACTGTACAGAGTTTAAAAAAATACACTTTTCATCATGAGGAATGTTGAGTTAAAGGATCAGACTTTGTCAATAGTAAAAGTTTGATGTGTTGATATTTCTCCTACATAAATTTCTGTTTATTATTTTCTGACTTTTCTCTAATAATTGATCATTTTTCCTTCTTATAAAATGAATTGTTGTAGCCATAGATTTAGCCGCAGTGCAACAGTGATGTTTAAACTGTCAAACTATTATTATTTATTCCTCAACATGCATGTTTTTTTGATCTAGAGTGTGGTTTTATTTAAATTGTCATCATTGACTTTTTATAATTAGATATTGTGTAGTTTTAGAAAACAACAAATTTGTTGCCTGGATTAAAACTAGTCAGACTTTACATTATCTTAAATATCATTAGGAGGACGAGTATGAAAACTATTTGATCATTTTACATGTGGAATACATTATTGAAAAAATGTAAAACTGTAACCACTGCACATGTTGTAAAAACTTAACAATATTCAACATCATGTTAAAATCAACCACAGGTTATACCTCTGTATATCATCTCATTTCATTAGAAGACAACAAAACACAGTTAACTTAACTTGACTGATTTATTTCTCGTGTTGTTCAGTGTGCTGCTCACCTGCCGCCTGCAGTGCATTCTGGACTTTGATTATCATGTTTCTACAACTTCACACCAATAAATGTTACTCATTTATTCTGATTATTACTCCGGTGATCTCAAAACAACAAATTCAAGTCAGAAAGAATGACTTCCACAGACAGAGCCTCCGTGTGAGTAACTCGACTTTGACTTGTAAATATTAACGTCTGGCTCATGGTAACTGCCACAGTTAGAAAAGTTGAGCTTCAAGAGGAAAGGCTGTGGGTTCCCAGAGGTCTGTGCAACAAACCACTGATGATAGTCCAAATACTTTTAGATCTGCGGTTCATTTCTGAGAAAACAAAACCTTCTTCCTGTTAGCATCTGTTAGCTGTGGCAGTCAACCCAATAAAACATTTGCTGAAATCAACACCAACCAGAGCCTTGAGCCTAAAATAAAATCAGACCCTGCTCTCTGAGGGCGGCTGTGTGTGCAGATAAAGACAATGTGATGAAACACCCTGTCAGAAATAAGAGTGGAAATGAGACTAAAATTAGCTCAAGCAGACTCCTGTCCTCACTGAACTACAACAGGTAAATACTGCATCAGGGTTTTTCACTATTTACTATATACAAATCATCAGTGACAGAACGAACAATATTCAATGCTGATATTATATAGGAGCGGTATATAAGTATTGGGACTTATATGGGCCTCTGTTAAAGAAAAGGAGCTTTACCTTACTGAAAGTTACACATTTTGATCAGGATCCTGATGGAGGCCTAAGAGGTTTTATCTTCCCATGTCCTAATAAAAGCTTTTAAATGTATCAGAGACCCTTGGACTTTAAATGACTTCAGTCTGACAGAGGACAGTTTGACCTTTGACCAGGAGGAGCCACTGCTTCTCTTCAGCTGATCTCTCAGGAGTGATTTAGTGTCCCTGTTCGTTTTTTGTTTTTGTTTTTTTACCACACACAACTGTATGTGGTTTCAGGGTAGCTTGTTACCCCCGGTAACAAGCAAGCAACTAACATCAGATGTGAGGTTGTCAAATGTCTGAGGTACTGATGGTGTCTGAAAATCATGTTCTGTCTGCTGAGCATGTATTATTCTGTAGTTTAGTTGAGAATATGTATGTGATGTATGTTTAACTCCATCTGATGCATCATTACATACACTATATGGCCAAAAGTATGTAGACTGTATGTAGTATGTAGACAGTATGTAGATTTGCTCCCGTTCAGCCGCGAGAACATTAGTGTCGTCCAACAGTGATGCTGGGTGATGAGGTCTGGCTCTATGTCTGTGTTCAGGGGCCAAGCTCAGGGCTCTGTGCAGGCCAGGAAACTGGTCGCTGTCTAAATTACCATTGTATGCTGTAGCACTATTACAAGCTCAAACCATATACAACAGCCCCTGCGGAAAAGTACACAAAGTTATACAGAGAGTAGTGTCCACATACTTAAGTGGTTGTTCCTTTGTTTAGTGCCTGTATGTAAACTAACTGAACTGTTGGTAACAGGATTTTTAATGGTCAAATGACTTCAGGAATCAATTCTGTGATATATGTAAAATTAAGTTATATTAAAACAATGGAGTGTTTCATAGATACGACTTAAGCTTTTCGAACCGGTGTGTATGTGTGTGTGTGTGTGTGTGTGTGTGCGCACGTGCATGCATGCATAAATTGTCTTACGTAATTTCTCCAGGATCTCCTCGTCTGACATCTTCTTCTTCCTGGTTTTGTCCTGAGGGCGGGGCAAGGAGGGCCCGGGGGCGGGGCTTGCACTGGGAGGGCTGCTGGGAGCTCCTTCCGAAGGGGGGGCGGGGGTGACGGCGGCCGCTGCAGCGGTCGGTGGGGAGATGGGGGAGGTCGCAGCATCTTTGGTGGGAGGAGGAGGGAGGGGCTCGATCACTGAGCGAGTGTATATCTGAAAGAACAAGTTCAAACTCTGTGACATTAAAACAAGATTTTTTGAAGTCAGATTTCCACACACTGCCAAGCATACATTTTCTAACAATACTACAGAACAACAAATAACTTACAGAGTATATAAGTATATATACTATAACCATTAGGTAGTGGAAAATGAGTCACAATCCTGTACTGTACACACTGTGATAATTTAAGAATGCCAGTTTTCTATGAAACGGCTTTAAAAAATCCTGAAATATTCTGGTGTGAAATTAGGATGGTTGTTTATTTTTGATGTGTTTGAGTTTTCTGACTTTGTCTGTAAAAGAAAACAAGATGGACTACTGAACTCAAAGTGTTGTTCTTTACAAAAAACAATAATAAAAACATTCATACTTCGTAGACCTGGTGCCTGGGGCAGTCACACCAAAAATTGATTTGATTTAGGTTTTCTCTGTTTACTGCACTTTGTATGAAGTTCATTCATATTCACAGCACATTCATGCCATTATTTTGAAACCCCACTTTCGTTTTACTGCCTAAAATCATCTCGATATACAATATATTACATATATGATATGGTCAAATGCAGATTGAACTGACTGAAAGAACAGGCTGTCAGCAGTCAGGATTAAAACACTTCACATTTAACACTAGCTACAGACCACTTCATTGGGAATGGCTTGTCCGCAGGAATAGAATGCAAGCCCATGTAATGTCCCCAAAAGTGACTATTGACTGTATGTCTGTGTGTGTGTGTGTGTGTGTGTGTGTGTGTGTGTGTGTGTGTGTGCGCGCGCATGGTTTATGGTGGGAGTTCCAGTCAGGTGCACTGGACTCGTTTCCATGGATACGGTGGTGGCGCCATGGAAGCAGCCTCTCAACCGCCAACCTGTCTAACAGAGGAGCAACAATGTGTGTGTGTGTGTGTGTGTGTGTGTGTGTGTGTGTGTGTGTGTGTGAGAGAGAGAGAGAGAGAGAGAAAGAGAGAGGGAAGGACATAAAAACAGGAATTTGTGAAGTTGTTTACAAATGGTGACGACATTGTGTGTGTGTGTGTGTGTGTGTGTGTGTTTTAACAGGAGTGTGTCTGTGTGTGACCAAGCATCAACATCTGAGGCTGAAAAATGAAGTCAACACTGAAGCACCAAAAAATGCAGTTCCTCTACTGACCACTAGAGTCTGGCTCCAACAGTGAGTCAGTCTCCATAGACTCCCATGTCAAAATGTCCAACTTTACAGCAGAAATAAACATGTTTACAGCCTGGTACAAAAACAGTTTTGGTCTCTATAGATAATTTCCTTCATGATGACTGTAGGGGGGTGAATTTTTGTATAACTCATTTGTTTACATTTTATCAAGGCTTAAATGTTATGAATAACTGAGGGTGTGCAGTGAGTGATCGTATGATAAACTGACATGCACCAGAATCTCAGGTCCACACGTGCTCCTCCTCTTTGCCCATTTTTGGATTAACCAGGAGTTAGGGGTGGAGTCAGACACTGCCAAGATGGCAGCGGCAGAGCAGCTCACTCTGAGCTTCAAAACCGCTCTTCAGAAACCTGTGGGTGTCGTTAGGGAGGCTACATCCATCTTTATTTACAGTCTATGTGTGATGAGATGAGCAGAATATTGTGACATTAATATAATAGTTTATCATTAATGTTAATAAAATTGTTTCCAGGAAAAGCTCCAACTGTTTTTCATGTGAGTATTAAAAACGGGTTAAACAGTTTAAAAGGTTAAACACAATCAATTTGTTGCTTCAAGGATAATTGATCAATAATTTGACAATCATGATTAATTGTTCGAGTCATTTTCCAAGCAAAAAATGAAAGATATCTGAAGAAGCCACCTTTGAATCTGGAAAACTGTGATGGATATTTTTTCACTATTTACTAATATTCTGTGGATAAAACAATTCATCGATTATAAGAATTATGAAAATACTGTCATATGTAGCTGAAGACCTGAACATACTGTCTGTTTGTTCTGAGGCTGAAAGGGATTTTTTTCAGGAGAATTGAAAGCTGCAAATTCAGTTAGGCTCAGTTGCCAGTTTATTAGAAACATCAAAGCTGAAACTATACAACAGTTCTGCAGTAAATCCTCCAGTAAGTCCAGGCGAGAATGTTCGGTTTGTGTTGAAACGGCTGCAAAGAGGAGCTGATTCAACTTCATGCTCATTTAAGAGGATGTGGATTGTGCTGCTGTTGAACTGTATTACATTATACAGGGAGGTGTTTGATATTTAGCATCCAGACTCCAACTGATAAAACAGCTGAATCAACAAAAATTGAGCATCATAACCTTCATGAAGGGAGGATGTATTTCAGGACTACTGGAGGTTTGTCCAATAAACTGGCAACTCAGTCTACAGCCTCTTTTATACAGCCTGTTGAAGGCAGGAATGTTGTGTCTTTATTCAGCTTCGCTGTTCTATAGAAAAGGCACCAACACAGATTGGGGGGCACTGTTGTTCTGTGTTTATACCAGCAGCTCGTTTACAGAGCCGGATCCACATCTATGTAAAATTCAGAGCCGATGTGGCGGCACAGATGTCAACGCTGTTGTGTTACACATCACACCTCTGATTCTGATGTCTAAAATCACACAGTGAGGCGGCGTCATGACAGCTCTGTGAGGGTCAGTGTAAACAAGCAGAATGAGGGGCTCCATCATGGTAACAATACAGGACGTGTGTATGAAATGTGCTGGTGAAAAAGAAAGTTTACTGTGAATGGAAATAGTGAGGCCTATTGTCAGATTATTGTGTGTATGTGTGTGTGTGTGTGTGTGTGTGTGTGTGTGTGTGTGTGTGCTCCTGAACTGACCTAGCAGAGAACAGAGAGCTTCTTTGAAAGACTGTTTCTAAATAAAAACCTCAGCTTTCCCCTGTGACTGTATCACACACATACACTCACACTGAAGTCTTTGTGGCCTTATTAGAGAGGTGAGGTGAGGTCCATTTAAAGATTAATGGGTGTGAGAGACATAATGAACGACGGACATCAGTAAGTGACTCAGCTGGGACTGCTGATGTGATAATTCTTTTTGTGTGTGTGTGTGTGTGTGTGTGTGTGTGTGTGTGTGTGTGTGTGTGTGTGTGTTGAGTGTTTTAAACACCTTTGCTCTCACACACCATAAAACACTGTCAACACTCTGACTTTGCTACAGTTAGGACAAAATCCTAAAACCCATTTAGTGAAGTAGCTTAAGTTCTTTTTTTTCCAGTCCTAGTTTTTTTTTACCTCAAGTGAACACTAAAATTCAGTTTGTTCTTGCTGTTCTGCCAAAATTACATTAAACCATAAATAGAACATGGACATGTGTCTCGGCCTCATACTCAGCAGCAGCAGTAGTGTGTGTTTGTGTGTTTGTGTGTGTGTGTGTGTGTGTGTGTGTGTGTGTGTGTGTGTGTGTGTGCGTGTGCGTGTGCGTGTGCGTGTGCGTGTGCGTGTGTCCTTACTGATTTGGTGTGTTCTGGTCGTGGGGCAATCACCGGCGGCGGCTCAGCCTCATCTTCGTCCTCATCCTCGGATACGGTTGCTATGGCGGGCGTCTCAGACACAGCCTTGGCGATCTGCGTGATGTCAGAGGGGGAGAGAGGGCGGAGCCTCAGTGACACCATTGTCACATTAGCTAACAGAGACACGAGACCCATCATGCTACCACGGTTACTGTCACTTCCTCTACCGCCTCATCATCTCACCATGCACAGACGCTCTTCTGCTCGTTCTATTCTCCTCCCTCGCTTTTAACCTGCTTTCTTCCTGTCTTTCCAACCTTTCCTGTGTTTCCCTCCTCTCATCATCACTGTTGATGTCTGAATGCTCTGGTCATGTCTGACTAGTCACACATCCTCCACTCCGTCCCTCTCTTCTTCTCTCCTCTATGTCTCTCCCTCTGACAGTCTGATGCTCGGCCGGTGGCCAAGCTGCAGAGACAGGGATATGGTGAAAGGAGGAAAAGATGCTGATTCACAATGCAGAGAGAGAGAGAGAGAGAGCGACAGAGAGAGAGAGAGAGAGGGAGGGAGAGACAGAAAGAGAGGGAGGGAGAGAGAGAGAGAGAGTGAGAGAGAGAGAGAGAGAGCTAAAGAGAGAGAGAGAGAGCGAGAAGTGTGATCATCATCACTTCCCCCTCCTACCTCCTCTTTATTTTCACCTTCATAGTTTGTTTTAAAGGCAACTTTTACTGCGGCAAAAACAAACATAAGAACACTGAGTTTGTAGCTGTGTGTCTGTGTGTGTGTGTGTGTGTGTGTGTGTGTGTGTGTGTGTGTGTGTGTGTGTGTGTGTGTGTGTGTGTGTGTGTGTGTGTGTGTTGCTGCTCTGGCAAATCAAGTAAGGTGCACTCAAAAACACCTGGTAGAATACCTGTCTACTTTTAAGCTAGAACGTACTGTTCTAGTTCATATTGCGACACAGGAAAAGAGGATATTTTTTCCCCCTGAATATTAATATCTAAATGAAAATGGGATTTTTTTGCAAATAAAATTACATCTCATTCATATCTGATATCAGGATGTGACTAGCAGTTACAGATTTGTTTGATCTTACAGTGTTTATAACATTTTTAATTTTATATCTATTTTTAATTACAATTTCCAGGTTTCTATTTAGGATTTAATCACACAGTTTAACTTTGCTAAATATTCATACACTAAGCAATAATAACATTTACACGATCTAAAGAAAAATGCTTTTTCATTCAATTGTAAATTAGGTGTTTGGCAAATCCTTAACATGTATATTTTCTATATCATAGAGTTGTCAAAACATTTACAATTTTTTTTTTATTAAAATGTACGTAGTTTGCTGTTAATAATTCCATTTAACAGGTTTTGCTAAACAGATATTAATCAATAATAAGATTGATCCCTTTAATATACTGTATGTCCTCGCTGTGGTCCCTTCACAGAAATGTATTGGCCAAACACATAACTGACACTCACACACCAGTTTCCTTTTAAGCTAGAACAAGTAGAACAAAAATGTTTTTCTCCTTCAATTGTAAAACCTGCACTTTATACAAACTCATTACAAATGATCAGTCATTTCATTCATTCAAGATGTAGCTTCAAGTTGCAGTTGCAGTTGCAGTTTAGGTTTTTAGTGGTTGTTAATTATAATTTATGAGGCAATAAAACAAAATTTTTTACAGCCAAACATTTATCCATAAAGTATCAGATCAAATGATTAAATCCTTTTGAAGGAATATTTCAACGTTTGGGGGAAAAACTCTTATTAGCTCTCTTGAGTTAGATGAGAACACGTGAGCAGTAAATCTAAAGCCAAAGTTAACTTAGCTTAGCATAAAGACAGGAAACAGGGGGAAACAGCTAGCCTAGCCTCTAATGCTCACTAATTTACACATAATAAATCGCTCCAGATACGAAGGAAAGACAGTCTTGCACCTTGATACAGGGTCATCCACCTCATCCACTTCTTTTACACCCTCCTCTGTTTCAAGTTCATTCTCCTCTCCCCCCTTTGTCTCTCTCTCTCACCTCTCTTATCTCACCCCGGTAGTAACTCTCTCTCTCTCTCTCTCTCTCTCTCTCTCTCTCTCTCTCTCTCTCCCTCTCTCTCTCTCTCTCTCTCCACCGAAACTGCGTCTCCCTGGTTTGTCTCATCAAGCAGTAGATTAAACCTCGTCTCCTTCACTCCTTCTCTTAATCTCCTCATCGTCTCACACTGCAGCTCCTTTCTCTCTTAATCCTTTCATTTCTTGCGACGCTGACAAACTGAGGCCAGGCTCCATTTTCCCCTTCAAGATAGTCCCTTCTCAAATTCCCTCTCCACTTGGTTTACCCTCAAACTTTCCTTTAGGTCTCTTCTACAGAACTTTAAAAAGAAAAACGTCCTGATTGAGTGTACTGAGTTACTGTTTGATGTTGACAGTGTTTATTTTATCTTAGCTTTAGTCTTCAGTCCCTTAATGACTAAGAAAATAACTTGTAGTCACACACATAATTTCATTATTGGAACTTTTAGAGACAATTCAGTTCAAAACTATAAATTATTTAGTTTTAATCAGTTTTATGAAGACAAAACTGTAGTTATGCATTTGTTAATTTTCTTTGTCAAGTAAGTAAAGCCCTATATTTCTTATTCTGGGACTGCACTTGAGTAGCTTTGATACTGTCTGACTGAAGCAGGCAATATTAGCACAGGGCACCTTAAGAGGCCTCCTTAAAAGCCCACTTCATTCTGACTGCTGCATATCTGGAAGCCTGTCGAGGTGGAGGTTCTGAGAGCAAACCGTAAAACTAAGTAACAGAACATCATTGGTTGGAAATGAGAGTGGACAACACGAACATCCGCAGCAACAAAGATCACAGCAGGATGTCACTTACAATACGACTCAAGTAGCTGTCTGTGTGAACGAGCTGTGCTTGGAGTGACTGACGTAGCATTCGGAGCGGTCTGAGGCAGGGATTACTTTTACATACGGTGACCTCACTATTTGAAACTTTGGCCACGTTTAATATGGACAACATGATACACAAACATGACAGAAAATACGGAACAGCACAATACACCCCGTTTAAATACAAATTAAAGCAGCCTAAAACTTGATGATGCATTTAACAATGTAATAATATCCAGGAAGGTTGAATCATTCACATCAGCATGTGAAGAAGTTAATCAGTCGATCGACAGAAGAATGATCTGCAACTATTTTGATATTCGATTAACTCATAGTTTTTAATTGTGACTTTTGTAGCAAATACGTTCCTTCTACTCAGCATCTGCTTTTCATTTGTTTTTGCTTTTCATTTGTTTCGGCCAGTTTTTGCCTTTATTCAGATAGGAACCGTGAGAGAGTGACAGGAAAGCTAGGGAGAGAGAGGGGATGACATGCAGCAAAGGGCCTTGCGTTGGATTCGAACCCATGGCCCAGTAAACTACATATCTTTGGGTTTTGGACAGTTGGCCAGGCAACACAAACTAAAAAATAAATAAATATTAAATTTAAATAATCTGAAGGTTAATCAATGATGACATAATCAATAGTTTCAGCAGTGAATTGAACTACCTAAGACACATCTTTAAGTCAATTTATGTCACTCAAGACATTCAGTGATAAATTAACATGTTGAGTTCTTAACAACTGTGGTAAAAATAAGAGCACCAGACATGCTGTAAATCCGCATCTCTTCTTCTTCTGTGGTTTTTTTGGCGGTTGGCAGACAGCTTTTTGGTGCATTGCTTCCACCTTCTGGTGTGTGAGCATTGTTTACTTTCGCAAACGTTGGCGATGTTGATGTTGATGTTCATGTCCATGTTCATGTTCATTAGCTGCAAACTGATGCGTTTAGTTCACCTTTCACCTTTCATACTGCATTTGGTCATCACACAAGCCTCTGAGGCTACATCCACACTGATATGTTTTGGTTTTAAAATGTGTCACTTTTGCACCTGGCATCCACACTTATAATGCTTCTCTGGCCTTACTTTTCTCCATAGCTAATCCTCGATCATTGCATTTTCTGCAAGTAAGCAACCAACCGCAGAGAAGACAGATAACCAATCAGAATTTAGGAGGCGGGATTAAGAGTGAGCATGTCATTTTCCTACATAGTTAGACAGCTACCAAGCCACCTTCATAAAAACAGTGATCAGTTAATAAGTTCACAGCTCGTGGCGTCCCCTAGCAGCTCAGAAAATTCTGTAACTTTACTGTTATGTTAAATCATTAGCTGATATCTGATTGGTTTCAGAGCAGCTGGTAGCTGTAGAGATACAAGATACAGAAACAGTTGTGTCTGTGTGTTGACAGATGTTGTCTCACCGTTGTGGTGGAGGAGCTGTAGGCATCTGCGTTTTTATCTGCAGAGAAAAACACAATGAAAACGTATAAGACAAAAACACTAAGGTGGAAGAGAAAGATACAGCACCATGCAAAGGTTTTCTACTTTCATCCATCACACAACACCGTAAGGAGGTGTTTGATTGGTCCCAGATTCATTCTGCGGCAGGACAATGAGTCCAAACGTACAGTCATAAATAACTATCCACAGAGAGACGGAATAACAAGGAGTCCTGTTACAGACGGTCTGGTCTCCACAGAGCCCTGATCTCAACATTATGGAGTCAGTCTGGGATCACATGAAGAGACAGAAGACACTGAGACAGTCTCCATCCACAGAAGAACTGAGGCAAGTTCCCTAAGATGCTAAGAACAACCTACCTGCAAAGTACCTGAAAAACTGTTTTTAAACGGTAAAGGTCAAACCTAAATTTGATTGATGTTTTTTCTCTTTTCTGCTCTTTGTATGAAGTTAATTCATGGTTTTATCTTTGAAAGCATCCTCACTTCACTTTTATGCCACTGCAAAATTTCTGTATGACAACAAAACCAAACCAAACATGTCCCACCTCCCCACCTGTACATACAGTATATATATATATATATACACATAGTCAGCACCTGTGAAGCTCATGTATTTCTGGCTGTTGGTCGTTTCTTTAGAGTCGTAGAACTTTAAAACATCGAGGACGGCCTGAGGATTCTTCTTCTGCTCCAGTTTGGTGATGTTGGATGTCTGCAGGAGCCGGGCCCACTGCTCTGGCATGCCCTGCACGCACACACACACACACACACAAAAAACACACACACACACACACACACACACACACACACACATTTTATTTCTTTTTTAATTTCAATGTGTACTGTTTATTTTATGATGAGCCATGACAAAGACAAATTTCCATCACTTTATGACAGTACAACAATAAAAATATATTGTAGTAAGGACTGTAGTACTGCGCACACACACGCACACACACACACATACACACACACACACACACACACTTCGTAAAGAGTCCTAACAAGGCAGTCTTGTCATATTTGTACTTCAGTCTCATAACTGGGTCACATCTCCTTGTTTTCTCTCTCTACTCATCGGTTGGGGTAAGTCCATCACACGCACTCCTCCACTTCCTGTTCCATCACTCCATCCCTGCACTTTGTTCAGTTCTCATCTTTCCTTCATTTTAAACCATCCATCGATCTCTGTACACAGGTCCACTGTGGTGTATTCACTCAGTTATTTTCAGGTTGTGTTGACTTGAGTAAAAATGACAAATGTTTATGTGCATGTAGCTGTTAATGTGTAAGAAAGAAGCAGGAACTATGTCCCAGATTACAGAGGAGGAAGTAGTAGCTTAGTCAGCACACACACACACACACACACACACACACACACACACACACACTCACACACATTCACACGGTTTAACTCTGAGCTAAAAGAGCCTGGTCAGGCGGATCAAGTGAGTCTGTGAAACAAGACGTCTTTGTCTAATGTGATTACTTAAAAAGGTTCATTTGCCAAGTGTGTATCACACACACCACACACACAAACACACACACACACACACACGCACACTCGCAACAATGAACATGGGTCCTTTGGTAAGTAATTAAAAAATGCTGCAAACACACAAGACACACAAATACACACCACAGACGCACACTGCGTGTGTGTTACCACACACTGTGGAACAATCACACAACACCACACAGACTTACAGTAAACTCCCCAGTAACAGCGTCAAAGCCGACATGGATGGTGTGTTCAAAATCAGATGGCAGAGAAATCTCCGGACGCTCCTTTTTCTTATACGCTGAAAAAACAACAGACACAAATTTCAGATCGTCACATAATGACAGTCATAATTATAACATGGTGTTTACAAGACAGATTATACTTACTATAATAAATTGTTATATTCTAGCAAAGTCAGTTTTAGCACAAAGGATTGTACAGGAAATTATTTTGGTTAGTACAGATTAAAGGATTAAACTGAATGAAACAGAAAATCTTAAAAGCAACTTTTTAAAAGGCCCTTGAAGAGAAGGTAGTGATAGATCCAGCATTCCTCCAAGGGTTTGAAATCCAGGCAAATATTGAAAAGGAAAAATACAGAGGTGGACAGAGAGGGAAAGCTCAAGGAAAACACAAGAGAATATCAGGACGTAGAAGATAGAAAGAGGAAAATGAGAATGGACAGAAAAATACAGAAAGAGTGAGGAAAAAGACCGAGAGACGCCATATGTTGGAAACAATGTGAGATGATCCTCAGGGAAACCATAACTCCACTGGGAGACACAGGTCCAGCTCAGACCTGGCATTAACATCTGTCTCGGGTGTTAATATTTAGAGGCGTTCTGGGCCACATGTGGCCACATTCTTTTAGCAGCAAGAACGCAAATGTGTCCTGGTAGTGCAGCAGATAACTGCAGGTTTAATATATAATATATTATAATATAATATAATATGAGTTAGCCTAGAGAGCTAACAAGTAAACAAGTAGACTGTTGACTCTTACAGAATTTTTGGTTCATCAGTCATAATAAATGGTTTGAAAATACATTGTGTTTTATAGCCATCCTCACTGTCTAAAACATAAGATTCAGTTCAAAAATCACTGTCAGTTGTTCCGTGGGTAAATTCAGTGGTAAAATATGTGTTTCCTATGCAAGTAATGGCGGCCATCTTGATATTTCAAGTGGCTAATGGGATTTTTCAAATCAATGGCCCCAGATGGATCAACATACCAATTTTGGTGCTTGTATCCACATCTGAAAGATAACTGCAGTTATCTGCTGCACTACGGGCCACACTGAAGGACCACCTACTCATGTGACGTCCTCTCCCACAGTCTCATCAGCGTTTTATCATGAACCAAAAATATTTTGCCATTTCAAATGGATAAAACTTTATTACACTGTAGATCTGTACACTGATTCGCTCAGCCCCTCCTGTTCCTGCAGAGACGTTCTTCTGCTCGTTTCAGTGAAAAAACTCACAGGCTGCGTCTTGAGTCACATTCCTTCACACTCACACTTGTTCACATGAGTTCACGAGTGCATTTACACTGAACAGTGCAGCAACATGCAGCGCACTTTAAGTACCCAGATGGTGCACCCTGGACTCTTCTCGCCCTCAACCTTTTTCGAGGCTACGTAGTGGAAGGGGAGGGGCCGCCAACGTATTCTCAAACTCGTGAAAATGGAAACTAAGGAAGGCCGTCAGTGCCAATGATGGCCAGCAGTCGGCTATGTTAGCATAAAGACTGGAAACGTTAGAACAGCTAGACTTGCTTTGTTCAAAGTACAAATTTTGCCTTCCACTATCTCTATAGCTCATTAGTTAACATGCTGTATGTTATTTGTTTTGTACAAAAACAGCAACTGAAAATTTCATGGCGAGGTTATGTGGCGGTCAGTTGCTTGGCAGAAACCAGTTGGGAGGCAACCAATGGAGACTCCAGGAAAACTGGTCCCAGCCAACACAAAGTCTGGCAAATAATCTAGTGTTAGACAGCAAAATGTTGTTTTTACACTTTGGTTTGTGTTTGTGTGTTGTGCAAAAATATGTTAGCAATGTGTGTGTTACATTTGGATGAAGCCAAGCTAACCGTTTCCAGTCATTATGCTAAGCTAAGATGACCAGCTGTAGCTACATACTGACTGCTGTATCAGTCTTCTCGTTTAAATCTTGGCAAAAGACAAAATAAGAGTATTTTCCAAAAAGTTCAAACTATGACTTTATAACAAAGCATAAAACATTGTACAAGAATTGTTCCGTTGATCAGTATTTTTTATGTTTTTGGTATAAAATGTCGGCCTACAGCGCCTCCCAGACGTCAGAGTCTCAAACTGAGGAGATAAGGAATGGAAACTGCTCGTCCTGACAGAACACAGCTCACTCATCTGTAGATAAAAATGATGGTGTGTTTTGGGAAAATAAACAAAGAATACAAACATGTATGTGAGTACATGCATGTATTGTCTAAAGTAGGCCAGCCATGTGATGTGAGACATGTAAAACAGAGCTGGTACAGTAATACTGTGCTGGTTCTGGTGTGTGTGTGTGTGTGTGTGTGTGTGTGTGTGTGTGTGTATGTGTGAGTGAACTGTTCTGAAGCTCAGGTCACACACACTAACAACACACTGTTGAATTAACACTGTTTCATTTTAAGCAAGTAACTGAGGCTTCATGTCCTTTAAAAGAAGTTTGCAAACAGAATCCAAAGTTTTTTCTATGATGTTTTAAAAGCTCTGTCATACAAATGACTGGATGTGAAGAAAAATGCACTTTACAAACATAAAAGAGCCTCAAGCAGTGATGATTCACCTCAAGTTACTTCAACATGTAAAATTAAATACTAAACATATGGTTGTATTTATCTAAACACTTTCAAACAGCCGTAAAATCGACTAGTTAAGAAGTTGATTAAAGACAGCAAACACTGTTGATTGTTACATGGTGTGTGTGTGTGTGTGTGTGTGTGTGTGTGTGTGTGTGTGTGTATTGTTGGTATCTGCTGGAAAACATTCACTTTGACCACACTTTTCTTATGACATCACTTTTGTTACTGTTATATATGGTAATAAACTATTCAAGGTTTGTGTGTGTGTTGATGATGATTAATGTCATTAGCATCATCTGTCTTATTCCGGTGGTTTTCATTTGTTATAAATGGGCATTTTACAATCAGGACGTATTTGTCTACACTAGCATTGTGTCTCTACAGCAAGAGAATTCAATTAAAATTCAAACAGGTCCAATAGAGTTTAAGGACAATAACGGCTGTAATAAGTAATGCACATAATAACTACAGAGCAGAGGGCTTCTGAAAAACTAGTGCTTAATTTTACAAAATGAAATAATGTTTAGTTTATCTTTTCATTTTTTTTTCCTTTATGGTTAAAACTCCAACAGTTGGTCAACATCACCTCACACCTTAACAACTGAACAGCTTTAACGCGTCCTTATCCTTTCCCTCTTCTACACTTCTTTCTGCAGCCTCGTTTCTCACCATTAGTGTGTATCTCACCGACTGACTCAAGTCACAATGATTGGCTGAGTAGCGTCATGTGACCAGTGACATAACGGCTAGAAAAGCTGCACCGGTTAAAATAGAAATGTGTAATTATGGATTTAATGCGGTACTAATTAACATGGGAGAGAATTCTTCTCTTTTAGAGGAGAGAGTTTTTGACCTGCTGTTTAGTGGATTTTCTATCTCAGTTCCTGATTAGTGTTGATTACCAGGTCCTGACACCAGTGTTCATTCTTGTCATTCAAAAGAATCTATCGCTGTTTGGAACTCATTGTTGTTCTGTTCTGTGTAAGGTGACATGAGGCTGTAACTACAGACCAGCAATTTATGCTTCTGGAAAGTTTATAATATTGTGTTTTTACCGTTATAAGCAGCAGGTCTGTTCATACTGCAGTGGTTGTCTAAATACATGGATGTTACACGAGGTCATAAGTTTAGGCTGACCCTTCACGCTGACCTTTGTAGACATGGACAGGTGAAAAAATGATTTTCAGGCAGCAGCCATTTCATGTATTTACATTTACATTTTGTAACTGCCTCTCCATACTCTACTGTAATGATTTCTGTTTGACTTCTGAGTCTTTCTCACACAGGATTCAAACTGTCCACATACACACACATCATTCTCTACTCTTTGTAATTTTGCGCTAAGCGATATCAAACTCACTGTTTACTGTTCACTCTCCTACAGCCAGATCAGAGCTGGATTCCATTACTGCTAATGCTTACCCAACATCTCCTGCTGCTGCTTCACAGTAAAAGAGTTCAGCTGGTGAAACACAGGGCGGCTTTTAATGTGAGGCAGCAACAGGAATCTGTAAATACGATCAGTATTGACAGTGATTGTTCATTTAAAGTTATACAAAGCTAAAGAGCGGATCATTCTGAGGTCAGGGAGTAATGAACAGTCAGGTGCGCAGTGAGCGGACAGATGCAGAGCTGCAGGTTGTACGGCTGACAGCTCCAACTCCTCAGCATGGTAACCATCGCCTTCTACTGTGACCTGCTGTTGTGTTGGAAACTACTTCATCGTGGTTGTTCACAGCACGATGGAAAAAGCCCAATTATTAACTGACTTCTTTCTTTGACTTTGCTGTGAACAGATAAATCAGTAACTGATCTGCTGTATTTATGTAGTAGCTGCTCAAAAAGTGTTGCAGTACTAAACCGCACTTTCTGTACCCACCAGCGTGGTTACTGGCGGTTAGAGTGTAGAAGTCATTGTTCCTCTGGGTTTTATCCACATCATTTCAGCTGTTGAGGAAAGGGGCGTCCTGGCTCATGGGTTGGAGGCTTGATCCCTAACTCCCCCGAACCCAGGTTGCATCAGTGAGGGCATCCAGAGTGGCTCACCTGGTGGGGCGTGTGCAATAAAGGCTTAGTCCTGACCACGGCGTGACCCGTGGCACTTTGCTGCCTGTCATTCCCTCTCTCTATCCCCAACTTTCCTGTCTCTCTCTCTCACTGCAACTATCACAATAAAGGCAAAAAATGCCTCAAAAAATGATTAAAATAAGAAAAAAAAAACAACCAATGCCGATTCAAATTCGTGGATTCACTGCGGCGACCTCTCACGGGAGCAGACGAAAGACAGCAACAACAGCAGCTGAGAAATGGTCCGAGATATCATGTTTTTATTACCAGACACATCTCGATCAATAGTCAGTAACACATTTTAAACCTCCTCAGTGTGTCTGACTCTATTTCACAGCCTCCCTCTGTGTATTAGAGCAGTGTAGTGCAGTTTACGCCCAGCTGGCCTTATTGTGTCAAAGATGCTATCAGACACTCTGCAGCAGACTTCACTGCATCTTCTCTCGCTTTCTCTGAAGTCTGTTTCGATCTCCGTCATCAGAAGAGCAACAGGGAGCCTGTTTATATGGATATGGTTGCTTTGAATGTGTGATAAAGACGTGTCTTTGTTAGCTTGCTAAAGGACAGCTGAGTTTCCTGATGAAAAGTGAGAAAAGTTAACGTAGAGCTGAGTTTGCAAAGCTGAGCCTGAGATGTCCTAAACTGGCCACCGTACAGAAGATGTCTCTGCTCGGTGACAAACACCAACAACACCAAGAAAAGAGAAGAGTCCCATAGCTCACACTCTGTGGTCTCTATACTCACTCTTATCACCTCCTCCGGTCAGGATGAATCGGATTGAGCGATCTTTCTTCTTCTTGTCCTCTGGGTTTGGTGGGAGGGGCTTGGACCCGTGGTTGAGGGGGGCGGGGTCCTTGTTGGAGGAGCCAATCATGGTGCTAGTGTTCCTCATAGGTGGAGCTGGGGGCTTGTCCTCGACCTCCCCATTATCAGACATCTTCTGCGAAGCTGCAGCCGGCCACTCCTGCAGGACGACACACAGAAAATCAACCAATCACAGGCAAGAATTCAGAAAACACAGCAGCTACAGTAATGATTAACTGATTAATATTAGATACGTGTCAGTGAGTGTCATCAGTCTCCAATACGGATATCAGGGCTGCTAGTAACTATTTATCTCATTATCTATTATTTTCTCTATTACGTAAAAAGTGATTCCTTCAAATGACTTATCCCCCCCATGATACAATGATAATCAATTAAGTAATCGCTAGTCCATTAATTTCAGCACTGCTAGCAAAGATTTAGACTAAGAGACCTTTGATTTGTGAGAACACACCCTTAAATTTCCAGGTGAAAGTCACGATCGCCCCTTAAATTAAGGACATATCTTCTATTTTATTTCAAATGATTAATTATTAATACATTTTTATATTCTGTTGCATTTCTTTTCCTCTTATTTCTCTCTTCCACTCACCACGGCCATGTGTCACGACCTGTCTCCACTATCGGTATCCATCGTTTCAAATGAAAAGCCTTCTGCAGAGTCATGCAATTGCAACTTCATGACATGTCAGCACTTAGAATTGCTTTTCTGTTGAAAGGTGCAACATATATAAACTTGCCTTCGATTCATCAACAATTTATATATTTAATATATTAAATACTGGCACAGAAGTAGGAAATTCAAATGTTATTGTTGACTTTTATTGTTAATATAGATATATAGTAAAACATTAAGAAAAGTGAAAGAAAGAAAGAAAGAAAGAGTTACCATTTGCTGAGTGGTCTGTTTGATCTACAAACACCATGCCGACTAAAGGCAGTGTGTGTGTGTGTGTGTGTGTGTGTGTGTGTGTGTGTGTTTGTGTGTGTGCAGTGACTCAGGCATAAATGCTGTGAGAAAGAAGAGCGTCTTTCTGCTTGGTCAAAGAAGAAAGCACATATAAACACACATACACACACATACACACACACACCTTTGTGTAAGTACAGCATGGAGTGTGTACACACAGCTGAGAGGCACAGAGGGACTTTTTAATGACTGGTTTTGTCACAACACACACACACACACGCACACGCACACACACACATACTCACTCTAAACTAACCACATCACTAAACGTTCCACTGGACACACAGTCCAGTTTATCTGGCTCAGAGATCACAGAATAATTCAGCACACACACACATACACGCACACACACACACACACACATATATACTGGGAATGTTGATGATTAATCAGTGATAAATTATTCGCCATAAAAATTTTGATTTATCAGGAGTATTTTAACAAAGAACAGACATTAGTTCCCTGCAGATGTTTTCAGCAGCTACATTATCATGAACAGAGAAATACTGAACTTAGAAGAGGAGGCAGGGCTCTACTTGTTGTTGTCCTGTGACTCCACCTTGGCCATACTGTCTCATATGAGGACAGCCCCTGGTATATTACATTCTCTGAAGTAAAAAACTGACACTGAAAGACTAAACTAAATGTTATTTTTCTAAATTCTCTTTGGATTGTGTTGTGTCTGTTGTACAAAAGGCAGGTTACTTTTAATGTGTAAAGGTCAGCAGTGCCAGCTCTACCTTGTATCCTCTACAGAGTTTCCTCAGTCCTTTGAAAAAGCTCATTCTGCTACCTTCCTATACAATCAGATATTTGTAAAATATGATGATATTCCATGTAGGGCTGTAACCATATCAGATTTTCACTAGACGATTATTGTGGCCAAAAGAATTTATGATAATGATATTATCACGATATCTATAGAGAATTCAAAAAAACAAAAGCTATCAGTCAAATTCATCTTCAACTTCATTTACTGTGTGTTTGGAGAGTAAGGAGGAGGAGAGAGAGTCTGCAACTATAACTGTACAAAAGCCAACAAAAAGAACAATTACACTTAATGGGGGAGTGAAAAGACAAAGTGATAAACTGACGAATAAAAGATCCACTAGTCCTAACATCTGCCATCGCCATATTATCATATGTAACACAATATCAATATTTCATTTTTTAAACATCACGGTTATCATCACTGCAATACCTAATCTAACCTAATCTAATCCACTGACTGTCCCAGATCACATCCCCGTGATGTTCCACATCTAAACAAACCTGCAGCAATTTGGTTCTTCTTCACAAAAGGTGGGGAATCTAAAAAGACTCAGTCCAGGAGCGGTTCTTCTGAATTTATGGAGTGAATTTTAATAATAAGAATGTAAAGCATTTGTAAATGAATGATTAATCCATCAATACTTAAGATTTAATTTTTAATTAATTAATTAATTAATTAATTAATTTTTAAGAAAAAAAGATTTTAAAAAACAGCATAAAACTCTGATTAAATAAAGCATTTATAAATACATAAAGTAATTCATGAATAAATAATAGAATTTGAAAAACTGGAATACATATCTGGAGTCCCTCTTCAATTTCCATTTCCCTTTTACAAGTGCTTTTCCTTTTCCTATTAGCTAATTGATTAGCTTAGTCATTGAGCCTCTCCATGACAGTCTGGACCTTCAGTGCTGGTAAAACCAGGATGAACAATCCCAGCTGGCCACAGGATGTAACAGGTTCTCTGATTGGTTTTACCAGTGGGTTTCACCAGCACTGAAGTGTCACAGAGGAATTACAATTCCTGTTTTTAATGCCTATTAAAATATGAAATTAAGGAAATGCTTTATTACTATAGCCCCTTTAATATTTGAGAGAGCTGTGAGAAAGTGTTTTATAGCACAGAAAAAAGCGACAGAAATAAAAACATCACCAACAGAATTTACACAACAAATTTGTCTCTGTGTTTGTGCAGCTACTTTAAAACTACCTGTCAAATCTCTTTTTGTTTTCTCACAAAACCATAGAAATGTTAGAACAGTTTACAACATCAGTGGTAATAATAACCTCCCACCAAGCTGACTTTTGATCAGCAGCTGCTATGGTTGCGGGGGTGTGATAGAAACATGCATATGATGCCTTCTCACTCCCACAGGCTGGAGACAATCTGAAGAAATTAACAGGAAAATGAAAAAATAACTGATAACAAACAGTAAAGAGTTTAAATATGATCAACATTTAAACATAAATCTGTTTTAACAGATTTGTTACTGTCTTCAGGGAGTTTTTTGATAGCAAATTCCCTCTTTTATCATTTCTTTCATCTGATTTTGCTCTTTATGTTTGCTTTGTCTTGTTTGTCTTGATTAACGTGAAGCCTTCTGGCTTCCTCCCATCCCTGTACATACCCACTGATACTCTATAACTGTATGTGTTTTACCACAATGTTTTAATTGTGTGGAAAAAATAAAGATTTAAGACTAACAAAAGGAGAGTGTGGCTTCAGGGTTAAAAAGTCTAGTCAAAATGTAATCATTTTATGCTGTTTTCAAATCCATTCTCAAAATAAAATAAGGCCCACATTATAATACATACCCTAGAAAACAATAATGAGCACGGAAAAAAACTAAATTTTAATCTCAGAGTTCAGTCAGGTGCAGGTTCACCTCACAGTTTCAGCCATAAAAATCAGTTTAAAAAGCCAAAACTGATGATTTCTTACCTTAAAGGTGCTGTAAGTAAGTTTTCTCTGCTGTGAATGTGTTTTGGGTTTTTTTTTTGCCAAAAGCAGGTGATGGTGATAGTGGTCGCTAGACAAGAACTTCAGCCATCAAGACAAGCTCTTCTTCATCCTCTCATGATGAACCGAGGGCAGACTGGAGGCTACAGTGACTTACTAGTAGTCTTAAAAGACGGGACTAGCTGGTTAGCATGCTACCTTCAGTAGAAGAAAAGAAGTGATAAGAAATAGAAGTTAACACTAACGTTAGCTACGTGGAAATAGCAAAACTTACATAGAGCATCTTTAACAGAGTGGATCCACAAAGAAATGACAAGAGAAAACGCTCGGAGGAGAAAACACTGATAGTTTAAGTAGAGTGACTAAGAGTGTGTGGCTCTGTCGGCATTTTGACGGTGATGTCGCAGTGTGATGTCACCAGGTGAGTCACACGAGGAAGTGGGAAATATTACAAACACACACACTTAAACAAGCTTACGGAGATTCTGAAAAGGCAAGAGGAAAACTAAAACCAATCCCTGGACGCACAAAGACACAATACTGTTTACACACACACACACACACACACACACACAGACGCAATATCACCCAAACAGGTGGCATTTGTTTACAGCCGTCACACATACACTAACTGTTTAGAGAGAAATGATGGTCCTTTTGTTGTCTGTTGATCTCAACTCACTCAAAGGTCACACACACACACACACACACACACACACACACACACACAGAGGATGAGACAGCCGAGGTCTCATATTTCAGACAGTCCTGTCAGTTTCAGCAGAGTCCTGTTATCAAACAAACCCACACACTGTCTGCCACATGACACAAACACACGTCCTCTGAAACTGATCACCAGAGGATGAGTAACGTTGAGTTTCACAACAGTCAGACGGTTTTTCCCTTCACACAGAAACTCTGTCTAAACGTACAGGTTCATGCTGTGAAGACTAGAGCTACACCAATAAACCATCACCTTATTGCATGTATATCACTATCTATAAGAAATATCAGTGCAGACGTGACAGATATGATTTACAAACAGTGTCTCCATGTTTTTACGACATAGCGCAGCTTTTGTTAAAACACCTACCATCAACATACGAGCACGTGCGTTGTGTTTAATTTGTTGAGTTCATATCTGATAGAATGTCTCTGACACGTGTATATAGTGCCATGTTCCGGCTCCCTTTCTTTCCGTTTTTCTTTTCCTGCCTCTGAAACTAATGTTAGTTAGTTTTTTTTTTTTTTTTTTTTTTTTTTTTTTTTTAAAGGTGTGTGAGACTTCAATTAAAGTATTCATTCATTCATTCATTCATTCATTCATTCTCCTCTTTGGCCCAAATCAAATTTGATTGGATACATTTATGTAATGCACACCCTTGAGATGCTATAAAAAATATTTTAACATTTACAGGAGGAGGAAAGAGAGAGA